CTTGTAAAGGAAGGTATTTTTGAAAAAATCAGGATGTACGATTACCAAGCGGTTTGTTTCAAAAGGAAAGCGACTAAGAACGATGCCAGTATTTTACTCACGGTTCGTTTGAATTTATGACAAATATTTTCAAAGTCTTATTGCGGGAAATTATTTGCCGAGAGTTTTAATAATTTGGGAATATCAATTTTGTTTTATAGCCTTGGACAAGCTTAAAGAAAGCTATTACTTGGATCGTCGGTCAAATGACTTGGGTCTGGGTAAAATCAGGCATTTGGAATTCCGACTATGCATACGGTTATGCTGATCCTAACGAAAATGACGATATGCAGGAGGATTATCCGGAGAATGGCAAAACTCCGATAGATCCCAAGGATGAGAAATTCTTTAATATGAAAGTTTTAATTAATAGGACGCGTCCGGAAGCATGCGATCAAGAGGTTAATACAAATGATTATTTATAATAGTTAAATATCTCAACGCGAGTATAAGTTATTGAAATCGTTATAATTGAAAATTTCAGGTATACTTATATTTGCGCAATTCGTCCGTAATAAATTACAACGTGGAAGTTGATATGGAAGACGAATGCGCAAGACCCTACATTGTACAACCGGTTAATTTCAGCAACATGTTATTAATCGTAGTTAACACAGGCACTTGCAGCGACACAACCTTACCATCGTTAACCGTGATACCCGAGGAAGTGATTTACGAAAATAATTCTTTGGTTTGTCAAAAGGCGTGGACATTTTTGAAAAGGAAAAGGCCAGAATCCTGTATAAGAACTCATCCAAGAGAAAGTGAAATAAAGGATCTCTGTGGATTAGCCAGCTTTACAGGGCCAAACAATTTTATTATATTTTTGTTGCTAACGTGTATTCTGATAAGGCAGATTGTCTTTCGGTGCAATTAAATCTTGCTTTTTGATAAACGAATATATATATATATATATATATATTATATATATATCTTACATCAAATTAATGTACATACAAAGCGCAAATGTGAATGATCATAGTTTATTTATGAATGTGTGCTCTTCTATGCGCTCCTGCTCTAAAATATTACTAGAAACGACTATCTATAATAAATCACTATGAAGAATTGTTTTAGTAATTGCATAATGATTCTCACAGCGAGTAGAGTTCCGACACATAAACGCAAGATTCCTTCATTAAACGATTAACCTACATAAGAAATGAAGTACTTTAACACCTACAACGTTATTATCAAGAATTACTCGGCCCGTTTAAAGTATCATTTAAATTTTACTTGTGTTTGTGTGTGTGTCTGTCTGTCTGTGTTGTCAACTTTTTTCTCCTATAACGTCATTTATTTATGATGATTTTCATCTAGTATTATTTATTTACAAAATAGTTGCACACAGTATGAACATACGACCTATTGATTCCTTGCTTCATTTGTTTCTGTGTTTCTTTTTCTTTTTTTTTTATAACAATAATCAATGAATCAATCATTCATTAAATGCACATCTTCAGCTAAAAGTTAAATCTATCTATTATGTATCCTAACTTATACAAATATCGATTAATGAATTAATTTGTCAAACATAAAAATTAAAAAACCATAGTTTGACATCTTATTAAAATATACGACGAGCATAAATGTCCATATATAGTGTATCGACGATTATTTATTAATAAATAAAAGAATTATCTATAATAGATGCATAGAGAAAGGATGAAGAGACAGGTAAAAAGAGAAAAATTGAAAGAGCAGTAGCGCACAGAGAGAGCAAATCGCATTGCATTTCGGGCAGTAAGATTTTGCTTTTGTTTTGTTATTGGACTTCATCAGCTTTTAACGCACGATATTTCATGCGTTTACGATCGAACGATTATTAATCATTTCGATATAATTATTTATTTGTTATACGTATATCAGCCATTATTATTTCTCAAGCCGTGCTGCGAATCAGCAGGGTGTGAAAAGAGGTAGAAACTTAGGGTCGCCTCTAGCATAAGCGTTCCATCGAGATATACGCCGATGCATTTTCACTAGATTCTAAAATTTTGACATTAGATTAATCACGTTTGATATTTCTTTGCTTATCAAGAAGGACATATATTATCGATATCGATGAAAAGATATCACCTCTAGCAAAGAAACATATATATATATATATATATATTCGTTTATCAAAAAGCAAGATTTAATTGCACCGAAAGACAATCTGCCTTATCAGAATACACGTTAGCAACAAAAATATAATAAAATTGTTTGGCCCTGTAAAGCTGGCTAATCCACAGAGATCCTTTATTTCACTTTCTCTTGGATGAGTTCTTATACAGGATTCTGGCCTTTTCCTTTTCAAAAATGTCCACGCCTTTTGACAAACCAAAGAATTATTTTCGTAAATCACTTCCTCGGGTATCACGGTTAACGATGGTAAGGTTGTGTCGCTGCAAGTGCCTGTGTTAACTACGATTAATAACATGTTGCTGAAATTAACCGGTTGTACAATGTAGGGTCTTGCGCATTCGTCTTCCATATCAACTTCCACGTTGTAATTTATTACGGACGAATTGCGCAAATATAAGTATACCTGAAATTTTCAATTATAACGATTTCAATAACTTATACTCGCGTTGAGATATTTAACTATTATAAATAATCATTTGTATTAACCTCTTGATCGCATGCTTCCGGACGCGTCCTATTAATTAAAACTTTCATATTAAAGAATTTCTCATCCTTGGGATCTATCGGAGTTTTGCCATTCTCCGGATAATCCTCCTGCATATCGTCATTTTCGTTAGGATCAGCATAACCGTATGCATAGTCGGAATTCCAAATGCCTGATTTTACCCAGACCCAAGTCATTTGACCGACGATCCAAGTAATAGCTTTCTTTAAGCTTGTCCAAGGCTATAAAACAAAATTGATATTCCCAAATTATTAAAACTCTCGGCAAATAATTTCCCGCAATAAGACTTTGAAAATATTTGTCATAAATTCAAACGAACCGTGAGTAAAATACTGGCATCGTTCTTAGTCGCTTTCCTTTTGAAACAAACCGCTTGGTAATCGTACATCCTGATTTTTTCAAAAATACCTTCCTTTACAAG